ATAATATATATATGTAGTATAGTATATATATATATATATATATATATATATATATTTATGTATACAACGTACTAATTACATCCTGATCAGTATATATACCCATCAGATAGATATGTTTCAAACGTACGTAAACGTACATATTGCGCTCCAGCAATAAGTTCGTATATATCTCTTGCTTGCATTATATCTACGCAATAGAACGCATTCATAATATTAGGAAACGGAGATAACTCACTCAACCAGTAGATACTGCTCCATCTCGACTGGGGCTTCCGTAGGGCCAAAACTATTCTTTGCCAACGGAGTAATAAACGTTAAGTCCCGTTTTCGCACTCCCGGTTGGTCAGGTAAGTCCTCCCATGCACCCACTGTAAATTCTTTGTAACCGCATTTGTCCTAAATATATTGGAATTGGGATTAGTACCAACCACGGATTCATTGCACCCACTTTAGTCCACAAAATATTGGGCCTGGCCTACAATATCGGGATTGGATCAGAACCAATCGCAGATCCCGCATTTGTCCTAAAATGATTGATATAGGGGTTAGCACCAACCGAGAATAATATGCCATATCTCGCCCCCAAAATTCAGTAGGTAAATAGCATAAAATAATGCCGAGGAAGTTCAGTTCAATGATTTGATCTGGTTAAAAGTGCAGTGCTACTGATATATATAAAAACAACACATTTCTGTCAGACCCAGATGCAGACTCTATTAGCCAGCCATCTCTCCGTACGAGGTCATATACATCATACATATAGTACATACCAAATGATATATAATATATTATAATATGATATATACAATAGAAATACGAAACCTCAATTTATGATGTGTAGTAGTACAACATCCTGGGCTACCATACCAGTATCAATTCTCAGTAAAACATACCACAGCATAGGTCTCAATCCACCAGTACAGGGCGCTACTACAAGACCACACACATCTGTGGCACCACAACAACACCATACGAATGACTATCGAGTGAAGCTTACCCCTACACCATTCTCATGAACTAACTCATAATACAGCACTAAACTAACATACTACTACAGATTCTCCACTGATCATATATCTACAACAGGTCGGTAGCGAAGGTCTAATCCCCATCTAGTCCTCGTCCGACTAACATACTACTACAGATTCTCCACTGATCATATATCTACAACAGCTCGGTAGAGAAGGTCTTATCCCCATCTAGTCCTCGTCCGTACCTACACTGTTTGGAATATTCGTACTATGTAACCTGGCCAACCCAAATATAGAACCCTGTGCTATAAATAAACCAAACTCCAAATATACCGAACTTTAGATACTTACCACAACGAAGTCGCGATAGAAGCCGTCTGGCGCTGCTAGCATATGAAACAGCTCGTCTACTGGTTTATTGACCACTATGTTCATCATCTGCCTGGACAAATGCTCATTGCCACAACCACACCCGGTTCTGCGTAGAGACCATTGCGTGTTAAAACATATATATATATATATATGTGTGTGTGTGTGTGTATGTATAAATATACATACTCAATATATATATATATATATAATATAGTATAGAACTAATAGAAGTACTACC